GGGCCCTGGGCAGCTGAGCTGGTGGCTGGCAGCCCTGCCCAGGGCACGGGGTTGGGGCTGGGTGATCTTCAAGGAGCCACTCTGGTTCTGTGATTTTTAATTTTTTTTTTTTTAAAGAACCTGTTAGAGGCAGAACAGCCAAGATTCTAACTTGGTAACTCAGCAATGTTCAAGTGCTTTACTGTAGTTTTGTTCTTAGTAGTTTTGGTGGTTTTTCTTTTAAAAGTGTAAGCCATATCTTATTTTAATGATCTCTTCTTATCTTGCATCCCATTAGGTATTGCCCAGAGAACATTCCTCAAATTCTCAAAAGTTTCCTTAGTGTGCTGTTAATGTATACACAGCTTTCCTTAGTGAGGCCAAGGAGGAGTTTGCTATGCACAGTCAGCCAACTGAATCTTCACAGATCAGTTTGAATACTGTGAGTTAAAATATTAACAACTTGAAGTGCTGTTGGAGATTAAGATTTCTTCTTATAAAAGCAGGTGGCAAGCCCTGGAATTTGTTTGCACATTCAGAGTAATGGAAAGCTGCAGCAACAACAAAATTCACACGTTCTTCAATAAGCATCAAATAAAAGTAGTGTAACAAATCAGGAAGTTCTGGATGAATTCACAGGTGGAGAAGTTTTCTCAAGTTCACCTTATTTCACTAATCATGTTATTTTGTTTGCTTTACAGTCAATACAATCACACAATGGCTAAGTTTTCAAAGTCATCAGCAGTTGCATTTAATAGCAATAGAAGTTATTAGTTTTGGAAGGGCTTTCAGAGAGCTGCTGATGTAAAAAGCTGGGCACTCACTCACAAAAATCTAGCGTTGCTTGTTTTAAATGCTGGAACATTTACTTAGCTGTATTGTGCTTCATCTCTGAGCTGAATGTCTTTAAGTGACATAATTTCTTTTTTTTCATTCTGATTGCTTTGCAAGACCTAAAATAAAACAGAAGTGCAATTTCATTTTGTGAATTACATCCAAGTGTATTGAATATGTGAATACTTATAATTCCAGATTAAGATTTAAAAATAATTTGGCAGTTTAGATACATGAAGAATAACTTTCCTTTTACGTGCAGCTACTTAACTGTAGGAACATCTAAAGGCTGTTTTCATTGTAAAGTGACTGAATATATGCATCGTTTTATTTCTTCCATCTTTTTAGACTAGTTTAAATATAAACCCATTTATTTTGTACTGCAATGAAAAAAATGAAAAATTGAATTGGTTCATTCATTTCTTAAGCATCTATAGTGTCACTTAATTTCACTTGATTTCAGCATATGTTTCTTGAAAACTTGTCTGCATTGAACGTGCAGATTTCAGTTGAAAAAGATGTAGAATTAATCCTGTAGAATTAAGCCTGTCTTAAGTGTTGAAGGCAGAGGCACAGCCAGTATTATCTCTGTTCCTCTGTTTTCTGTTAACATAGTATATAGAAGCTCTTTTTGCTGTCCGAAACTGTACTGACCAGCTTCAACTCCTGCATAGCTTAGTCTTGGCTGCACAGATTTTCTCCTTACAATGGCAGATGGCATCTCCATAGTCTTCTGACCTTGCTGTCAGCAATCATTCACTTTCTTATTCTACTTAAGTTCTAGAACAACCCTTTTCTTCCAAGCTAGCCTTCTGTCCTGCCTGCTTGCCTTCCAACCCTTTAGAATTGCCTGTTCTTGTGCTCTCAAGAGGTTGTAATTAAAAAGTGAGAAGCACTGATGGGCCCCAATGCCTTCAAAAGCTGTTTCCCAGGGGACCTCATTAACTAGTTCCCTGAGCAACCTGAAATCTGCTTTCCTTATACCCAGAGCTGAAGTTTTGGTGGCAGTTTTTTTCCTATCTCCAAAGATTTAAAAATCAGCTGCTTCATGATTGCTATGACTAAGGCTTTCTACAATCGCTGCTCCATCCGTGAGACCCTTTCTCTTTACAAGTAACAAACCTCTATAGGTTACTCCGAAAGTAATTCCTCCTGTTTATTTCTGTGGAAAATGTAACAGATTAAAAGAGCACTATTTTATAGAGCAAATTCTCAGCTACAAAACAGTCTCCACCATTAACTATGCATTTTCATCAGTGGTGATTAAGAGCATGCGTGCTGCTGTTGTAAAATTCTGCACCAGTGGAAGTGACCTGCTGTTGCCACTGCTGAAATGCACCTCCTACCACGTCATTGTAATCGCATCCACTGTTTGTTCTCCATAAACATTCAGCAAGTGTCAGTGAATCTCAGTTGGTACTATTTTTTCTGCATGGAGGAATTTGATGACACACCTATGCTCCATGTGCACTTCCTTGTCAGACACCATTCTATCAGACTGCCCCTCTGTTGCCATCTGTCACACAGCAATAAAATACAATATAATATTGGCAGGAAAGTTCAACCTCTACTGCCATACCATCAATATCTGCCTCTTACATTGCAGGGCAACACCTTAAATGGGAGGCTTTACTTTCAGAGCAGTCTTCCTAAGAACAAGGGTGGTTTGGTCTAGAAATCTTGCATAGTTCCTTAAAGAATAATTCATCAGTGTTGTCATCCTTGCTGGGCGGTCCACAGTAGACTTGCCCAGTGACATCTGCTTTATTTGCTTGTCCCTTAATCCTTAACCAGCAGCTCTCAACTGTGTCATCACCAACTACGAGCTCTGTAACCAGCTCCTCCCTCACACAGCACCAGCCCCTGCCTTGCCTGTCCCTGCTGAAGGCCAAGAATGACACACAAGTCATCCATCACAATGTGGGACTTTTCCCACCAGGTTTTGCTTATGCCAGTGATGTTGCTGGGACTGAGCCAAGGCTTCTACCTCCTCTTGCTTGTTCCTCATGCTATGTGCATTCATGTAGAAACATTTCAAATTTGTTGTACCCAGCACCTTGTGGAACAGACTGAAGGATCTCACTGTCACACTCTTGAAGTTTGGCATGTCATCCCATAGCTTATCACTGCTGAGCCTAGTTTTATCCTTTTGCCTCTTCAAATCTAGTTTAAAGCCCCAGTAACTTCTGTGCAAGAATCCTTTCCCCCTTCTGAGAAAGGTACATCCAGTCAGGTCCCTGCAGACCTGGTGTTGCATAGACTATCCTGTGAAGGAAAAAACCTCAAATTCTGTTAGTTACACTAGTGTCGAAGCCACACATGTATCAACTGGGTCTGCCTGTTCATTATTGTTCTCTTCTACTGAAAGGGTAAAGGAAAATACTGCCCACCCCCCATTGCTTTAGACATTTGCCCCATGGCCCCAAACTCCCTTTGGATTGCCCTGGGACTTCTTGCTACCTCATTTGCTGACATGGAAAACTAATTATAGTCAGAGGGCTGTACTAGGCTAGTGAGTTTTCTAGTGATATCTCTTACCTGGGCCCCAGGGAGGCAGCAAACTTCCCTGTGGGTTTGGACTGGTCAGCATATCAAGCCTTCTATTCTCCTCAGAAGGGAGGCGCCCATGACAACAACCCTTCTTTTCTTTGTGACAGAGGTGGTTGTGTTTTAGGGGACAGGCTGACTTACCCTGGGTGACTCCTTCAGCCTGGATGGACCTTCATCTACACCACTGTTTGCCTGTCCATCAAGTTCCTGAACCTCGTATCTGTTGTATAAGGGCATCTCAGAGGGTTGGGTAGGCAGAGAGGGGATTCACCTGCTGCCCTGAGCAGAAACCTATCTTTACCTTCTGTCTTTTCTTCTACCTGCTTTTGTCTCCCCCTGTATCTTGAGTTCCCTCCTTCTACCTGGTGATAAGAGGCCAGAGAGTCCCTTGTTTCCTGCATCATGGCTGGACACATCACTGCCACATCTTAGAGCTGGTGCTCTTCACAGTATTTTTATCACTGTCATAGTAGGACTGAGTACACCTTTGGCAGGTTTGCTGATGACACCAAGCTGAGCGGTGCAGCTGACACAACAGAAGGAAGGGATGCTACCTAAAGGTACCTGGACATGCTTGAAATGTGGGCCCACATGAGCATAATGCAGTTCAACAACACCAAGTGCAAGGTGCTGCGCTCGGGTTGAGGCAATCCCAGATATGAGTACAGGCTGGGAGAAGAACTAATTTCCTGTGGAAATGAACTTGGGGGTTCTGGTGAATGAAAAGCTGGGCATGAGCCCACAGTGTGCACCTGCAGTCTGGAAGGCCAACTGGGCTGTGCCAAAAGGGGGTGGGAGGGGAAAGGGGGGCAGCTGGGAGAGGGAGGGGATTGTCCCCACTGTGCTCTGCCCTTGTGAGGTTCCATCTCGAGTACTGCATCCAGGTCTGGGGCCTCAGAACAAGAAATGGAACAGAGTGTGAGTCCAGAGGAGGACCATAAGGATGGTCAGAGAGCTGGAGCATCTCTCTTACGAAGAAAGGCTGAGGGAGCTGTGCTGAACCCGCAGCCTCGAGGCAGAGAGTAGAGGAACAGCTACCGGATACCTCGGCCACCGCCGCACGCCTCTCAGCCGGCCCCGAACCCCGCTAAGCCGGCACGCAGGGAGTTAACCGCGCCCGGTGCCGCGCTCCTTCGGGGCGGGGCGGCTCAGCCCAGCAGCGCTGCCGCTGCCGGGAGGCGGCACGGCTGGATCTGTGGGAGCGCTCCGAGAGGTGTTCGCTGCCCCGTGGCGCCCAGGTGAGATCGCCGCACGAGGGGGCGGCACAGGAGGGCGCGGGGTCCGCGCGTCCCAGTGTAGCGAGCGCGGTGCTCCGCTGCGGCCGCCCCCATTGCGCCGCCGTAAGGATGCCGGGCCGGTGCTGAGCGGGGTTGTGAGTGTTCCCTCCGTCTCGTGCGGAGGTGAACGTATGAAAGAGTTTATTGTTTTAAATGAGAGAGATTTATCATCCTTTATGAATTGTAATACGTTGCCTTTAATCGGTGGCTTTTAACGTGCAGCCTTCAGTTTTCTCTCACGCGGTTCTTTCTCGACTCTTTCCAAATACATCCCTTTTGTAATTCTGTTGCAGAACCGGGTGGTTTCCGTTTTGTCGTAGTATCTCCGTGCGATCGGTCCCTTTGTAAGGAGTGGGAGGAGGAAGGCTTTGTCACTCGGATCTTCCTGGAAAGGGCATCCCCTGATAGAGCTAGCTTTGCACGTAGTCACTGCTGAAAGTGATAGCAGATCATCTTGTTTATTTATGCATTTATTTCGTGTAGGTTAGGGTAATGGATTAGAAAAGGGGATGAGAGAGGGATAGGAGCGCTGTTATTTCTGGGAACTCGTGTTTGGTCACCTTTACTCTGCGGGAGGCACAGATAGAAGTGCTTTTAGGGTTACGAGGAGGAGCTTCGGGAGGAGGAGATGATGAGTAAGAGGTTCCCTGGAACTCGTGTTTTAGGCGTATGACAGTTAGAGAGGAGCTGTGGGGACCGGCCAGAGCCATCAGAGGAACAGACAGAGCCCCCACAAAGGCCTCTGTCCTGCAGTAAGGCAGGTGCTGCTGGACAACAGAAGCAGTGGTGAGGTGAGGATTGTCTCAGGAGGAGGGCGAGGGGGGGGGAGGGGGGTGCTTAGCCATGTAAACAGCGGGTGCTCATTTTGCCGGAGTTCTAAAAGCTATAGTGTGGTGGAATTGGTTTTTTCTTTGTTTTTGTTTTAGTATTTGTGACAGTGTTGTCTATGTAGGGGGTTTCTATCAGTGTTAATGTTAAAGACGAGACTGTTCTAATGCATTTATAGCAAATTATTTTAAAATATAATTCTAGGTTCAAGCATACATGGCTCCTGGTGTCTCAAATGAGAAGAAAATGGAAGATGAACAGTCTTCAAGGTGAGATTGAGAAATTTCTTTTCATGTCCAAGTTCACTCTTACTTTCCTTCCCAAACTTTAAAATTCATTACACAGCTGTTTAATGGAAGATGAAATGTTATAGGAATACTGACTGTAACATCAAGTATCTACAAAGAGAGCTTTTCTGGAAAACCATTTTCATGTGAAATTTTTCAGGCATTGATGATGCTGTGATGGCTTTTAATCCGGTGAGCTGTTGAAATGCTGACTTTGGTTGCTGCCTGTAAGTTGACCTGCGGCCTGAAGACACAGAACAAAAATTTCCACCTGTTTGTCTCATCCTTTATCTCATTTTAGTAAAGCCATATGTGTGTGTTTAGCCCTCAGATATTCATGTTCTCACGAAACCCCCAGAATTATAGGTGCCTTGAGCAGTGTGAGGGAATAAACTGTCTGCTCCATTGAGCTCAAGATTTTTATCAGGCAAACTTTGCCTTAACTGTAAATGCAGGGCATTGGCTCCATATGCAGATAGCAATATGCTTACTTTTATTGCCCATTACTCCAGGGTCCAAGTCTGCAATTAGATTTGGATGGGCAGATAACAAGCACATGTCAGTTACAGCATTTAAATGCAATGAGACTGTGGGGTGAGGAGTGCTGCTGAAGGATAGGAGATGAAAGAGGTGGAAAGCAGACACAGCTGAGGAAGGAAGCTGTAGTTGGGCAGGGCAGGAAGACAGCAGTGCTGGTACAAACCACTTGAGTTTCACAGCCTTCTAATAGGAGCCTCACCTTTTTCCAGTTTATTTCCTGGAGAGAAGCTTTTACTGCTGGTGTTCTCATAAAGAAGGAAATATATTTTACATGTCCGAGAACGAACTGCAAATTGATTTCAGATTATATCCTCTTTATATCTAATAGCCATTACTATCAGGATCAGCCCAGCCAGCTATTTGCTCTGCGTTAGCAATCCAGTTGGCTTTGGCAGAGAGTCCCACGAAACAGCTCTGAGAAGGCAGCCTGGGAATTCTGCTTGAGGGAGCTGGCAGTCTCCTGGGTGATGTGCACTGTGCCGAAGTGCCATAACCTGCTCTTTGTTTCTCCTCGTCTCACCATACCAAAATTCTTTCCGTAGGCAGGAGTTGAGCTGGGTGGAAGGAGAAGAGCTGCTCACTGTGTCTGCTCTTTCAGTTACTGAAAAGCATTAAGCAGTGGTGAGCAGAAGCAAAGTGAGTGGGTTGGGGTGCCTTATGTTGGTTGTAATAGCTGCTGATGAACTGATGGTGACATTAGAGAAGCACTTTCAAAAATAAGTGATAGAGCACTGGGTTTTTAACTACTTTCTTTGCTTTTTAAGGAACAATTCAGTGAACTCAGTATGGGCACATAGGCAGTTTTAGGCTTCTTAAGGTAACAACAGATCCTGCATAGAATTGGTAGATAAAGATGTAGGTCCAACAGGAAAGTACTAGAGGCATTAGAAGACAGGATAACCTAAAACATCTAACATCCAAATAACACAGACACTCGCATTTAGGCTTCAGAGTTTTTCCTGGAAAGTCTTTATTCTTATTTTTTATTTTTTATTTTTCATAAACTTCAGAGAAACTCTTTCATTTGTCTCCTCTGACAAACTAGTCCAAATTTGCTGAGCCACACTGTGTCTGCAGTAAGCATTCATTAAGCTGTTAAGTCATCTTCTTTTGTCTGGAAGATACTTTATTTCATCTCTCAAAAACTGCTTTGAACTATTGATTGGTATTTTACTTCAGCTTGTTATTATTGACTCATATTTCCTACCTGTTTCAGCTGAGCGGTAAACATGGAGTACAGAGAGAAGGAAGGTGTTTTATGAGTCATTTAGCTTGCTTAGTTCACCACCAAATTTTCCATGAAGGCGGTCCCACACGCTAACTAGTTCATTTTTCTCTCATTGCTTTGGTATTTCCTGGTTTTCCAAAAGTTGTCTTTTTTCGTTGTCTTTCCTTACAAGAGGCAACTTAAGAGGAAATGAATTCTTTTTACTTTTCCTTCCGTCTCTTCTTGTACTGTATTTCCCTTCCTTTTTTTTTTTTTAATTTCTTTCTTTGCTTCATATTTTCATTTGCTTCTTTCCTGGACTATTCAGTTTCTCTGTGCTCTCTTTGCTGATTTCAGGACATAGGTTATTTTCTCCTGGCTGGATGACAGAGTAAACAGTGAGGCAAACTGCCAAAAATTGTGTTTGGGCCTGTCTGTAAAGCCCAACTCTTCCTACCTGTCCCAGGTAGCTAGGAGGGTCTTTCAAAACACAGAGGTCAAGTTTGCTTTTTGGCTTTGTTGTATACTGTCTGTGTACTGAAGTGATCCATTGAATATCCCCTGGTCTTGTTCCCATTGCTCTGCTCACCTCCAAGCCCCACCCTGGGTCACAGCTTTGATATTGTTCAAGGTAAAGGTTGCACTGTTGTAAATGTTTTCCACTGCCTGTGTTTTTCTTCAGCACTTGCATCCTGTGCAATGAATGGAATGCTTACTATCATGTGTGACTTATTACATGATAGAAGGAGATTATAAAATTTAGGATTTCCTTAACATAATCTGTATGGAACCAAGATCAGGTGGTGTAGGCAGGCTTAGATGTGGCATTTCCCATCTTTTACTGACTAACTTTGCAAAATTAGGATGTTTGATGTAAGTGTTTTTATGTATTTTATATGTTCCACCATGCTGCTGTCCTGACAGAGAAAATTCTATCCATCTCTGCAACCCTCACCTGGAAAAAATGAAAGAAGACATCCTATACCATTTTGCTCTTGGGACCGGTACCCATGATTTTCCTGCACTGTTTGGAGATGTAAAGGTAAGAAGCTGCATTTCATTCAGCAGGCTTAAAGCTTTTCTGCAGAAGGAAAAAGTAGAGCTGTCTAAATAAAATTAAACAAGGCAGCATATTGCCAGTTGAGGGAGGAATGGAAAGGGGAGAAGACTTGCAGGTTGTTTTTTTTTTTACTATCCATATCAGTTATAATAGTTTCTGATTGTCTTTTTTCAGGAAGTAAAAGACAAATATTGCAATCTCTATTTAAGTAGAGAAATTCATTTTTGAGGCCTTGAAGTCAAAATCTGTATTTTACTAGTTTAATCAGGTTGAAGGCCTTTGAGTTCTGTATTGAATTTTTTGGGGGTATACTTTTTCTTAATGGCTTTTTAGCATGATTGAGAGAAGAACCACGTCTATGAGTAGCTTTGTGTTAAGGTGCCAGCATACTCTTGTTTACCTTTGCATGAATCATCCAATCAATTTTTGTTTTGTTGAATGCCATCCGCACCAGTTCGTGTGTGTAGGAGGAAGTCCTTCACGGATGAAAGCTTTTATTGCCTACATAGCTGAAGAACTTGGACTTGGGAGCCCTGGTGATGACTACCCCAACATCTGTGCAGGAACTGACCGTTATGCCATGTACAAAGTGGGACCCGTTCTGTCAGTCAGTGTAAGTGACCTTTAGGAAACAGAACGTAAAAATGTCCATCCAGATACTACATGTACGTCAGATATTGAACATGATTTAGTGATGCTGTTCAAAGTAGAAAATATGAAGCATGTTTCTTTTAAACGCTTTTGATGAAGTCCACTTTTTATGTGTTTTCATCCATGTTCACAGTAGTCCTGTTGGCTATTTATGAGTTTCTGTTTATCCCTTTCTTGTAAAAGGGCTTGACCCCAAGACACTGATTCTTTTCTTGCCTTCTTTTCCCTCAGTGTAACCCTGAGGTGTTGCAAAGCCTTAGAAATGTTTTGAGTGGAATCACTGCTGTCTCATCCCTGTTTTTTATCCTGAATAATGGAATCATCACTTGATATATGTGGGACACTGGAAAAAATGCATCTATTGCACATTCCTACAGTGGCATTTTCAAGTGTGCTAACATTCCATGAGAGTTATGCCACCAACTTGTGTATGCATTCTAAAAATTTGCACCTTTAATTTGTAGATGCAATTACACACTTGAATTGCAATAACATAACTGTGATATCATTTTCACCCTTTCCCTTGACATCATCATACAAGCTGAATGGACTTGCATTTGAACTTTGTGACTAAATAAACAATGGTTGTGTTTTGAAAAATTTGAGCTTAATTAGTCACTAGCGTTTCAAGTTGGTAAAAAGAGGCTTTTTTTACCATGTTTAAGAAAAAATCCGTGGTGAAGTAAACTTATTGTAAGCATAGGAAAGGATACTGATTATACTTTCAAGAGCATAAATATTTTATGAGTCAAGATTATTAGAAACACCGGATTTCATCTATAGTCCACAGATTCAGTGGGAGTCCTTATGCTTACTGTTCAAAAGTTTTTCAGTGGGCCCATGAGAGTTTTTTGATGGTGAGTTAAGTGGCATTTGGAAAAAGTATCAAGAAGGAGATAACACCTAACTCCTTCCATGTATATTTTTCATTGTCTTTGTGAATGTCGAACATGAATTTCTGCTTTCATTTCAGCACGGTATGGGCATTCCTTCTATTTCAATCATGTTGCACGAGCTGATCAAAATGTTGTATCATGCCAAGTGTTCCAACATAACCATTATTCGCATTGGCACCTCGGGTGGAATAGGTATTTCCCCTCTTGATTTCCTTTTTTCTTCAAACCAAAGCATTTGGCATCTCTGTTGGAGAGCAAAGTGTTTCTCCCCAAGTGATTTGTGTTCAGAACAGATTTCCACAGCAGGTTGTCTGAGTACATTTAATCATATAATGGAATCACAGAGTGGCTTGGGTTGAAAGGGACCTCAAAGCCCACCCAGCTCCAACCCCATGCCATGAGCAGGGCTGCCACCCACCAGCTCAGCTGTCCAGGGCCCCATCCGACCTGGCCTTGAGTGCCTTCAGGGATGGGGCATCACAGCTTGTATGGGCAGCTGTGCCAGCGCTTTACTGCCCACTGAGTAAAAAAGTTTTCCCTAACATCTTTCCTCTTTTAGCTTAAAACTGTAATATTTCTTTTATTTCCTGGGTCCTAATGTCCTTCCATTTCAAAACAATAAATAATTTTAATAGAAAAGGAGGTATCTACCTCTCTAGATAGATAAAATGCACTTAGAAGATATGACAGAGGGAGAAGGACATTCCTGTACTGTATAAAATAGCAAAAATAAGAAAGAATATACAATGAAAAGTCAAGATTTCATTTTTTCCCAAATATATTTGCAATAATAAACTGATGCGGTGAGGCATACACACAAAAAAAATATCGCTTTGTGATTTCAGGGGTAAAATTATCACTTTTAAAAGAAACAGGATTGGGTGAAGATGTGTGTTTCTGTCTGTGGAAACTAAGCATTACATGTATCTGTTATTGAAACTGCATCTGTTTCTTCCCACTGCAGGTCTGGAGCCAGGCTCAGTGGTTATAACCAGGCAGTCTGTAGATGCCACCTTCAAACCTCAGTTTGAACAGGTTGTCCTGGGAAAAACTATAATTCGCAGCACAAATCTAGATGAAGAGCTGGCTAAAGAGCTGCTGCAGTGCAGTAAAGAAATCAATCAGTTCAATACTGTCATTGGAAACACTATGTGCACTTTGGATTTCTATGAAGGTATGACTGCAACAGACTAGCAGAAGTATGGATTGACATACAGACATCAGGTGCTTCTCTGGTCTCTCAAATATGTTAACAAAATCTTTCAAATCTCATGAGAATGGGTTGAAGACAGCAACTAATCCTGCTTTTCAGGCAGTTACTGGGTGTGTGACAAAGGGTGCTATGTGCAGGGGGACACATGCACATAGTCCTCAAGATGTGTCAGAAGCAAACAGTGTCAGCTTGTGCATTTATTCAGACCAATCGCAGAGACAGGCTGCACTGAAAAAAGGAGTCAGGAATGTTTTCGATACAGATAGCAGGAGCTGAAAAGAGGCTTAAGGGTGTGAATTTCAGAATACGCCTCCTGAAAACAAATAGATAGTAAAGTACTGTGTCATTTAATTATGCTGTATGTGATGTGCTGCCAGCTTACCTGTAGGTGTTAATCTCAAATAATCTGAATAAATTTTAATTTCCAAAGAATGGTATTGCACAGAATTGAGGGGTTTAGAAGGGACCTTTGGAGCTCACCTGGTCTAACCCCCCTTAACAAAGCAGGTTCCCTACAGGAAAGTGTCCAGGTGGGTTTGTAATATCTTGAGAGAACCTCTCTGGGGAGATTGTTCCGTCATACCCGCAATAAAGAAGTTCTTGCTCATGTTCAGATGGAACATTCTGGGTTCCAGTTTGTGCCCTTTGTCCCTTGTTCTGTTGCTGGGCACTGTTGAAAAGTCCAGGCTGAACAGTCCCAGCTCTCTCAGCCTTTCCTCATAAGGGAGATGCTCCACGCTCCTCATCATCCTTGTAACTCTCCACTGCTCTCTCTCTAGAAGTTGCCTAAGAATTAGTATTAACTATTTAACAGAAGATACTCCCAATCTCTAACCATTTGAAGCTAGTATCAGGAAGGCATTTTCAGGCCTGGTGGTTTTTCTTGACAATAATTATATACAGGAAAAAGTGCTGTACTTCCATACAGCTTAAAGCAGATGTAGTTTGCTGCGAAATTCGGACATGTGCCCCATGTGGGGAAAACCACTTGATGTATTTTTGTGTTTGTGAGTTTGAAAGTTTAAGCTGGAGAAAACCAGTAAAGTTATTGTGAGTCACAGTATAAAAAATGCAAGTAATACTTAGAAGCTCTAGCAGTAACTGAGAGTCACTTTTGTCTTATTTGTCTTTGGGGATGGAGGAAAACGTTAGTAAAATCTAGACACTGTGGATGGGAAATTGCAATAAATGGGTATTTTAGAAATTTAACTTGGTTTATGACTTCTTGTATTTCCACAAAATGGCTTTGCAGGACAGGGCAGGTTGGATGGTGCGATCTGCTTGTATAATGAAGAAGAAAAACTGCAATATTTGAAGGAAGCTTATGATTCTGGCGTCAGAAACATTGAGATGGAATCTTCTGTCTTTGCTGCCATGTGCAATCTCAGCGGTGTCAGAGGTAAACTAACTTAAAGTTGCTTTAATCCAATATCAGAATTTTTTCTTCAGTGCAGGAGAATTCAGGTAAAAATTATCAATGGGGTACTGACATATCTTCTGCATAATATACCATCTGCATGAAACAGCTCTGGTTGTAGAACTGTTACTATGATTGCTTGATTTTAGTCACATATATTCAAAATTTATGCAAACTTCTCATAGTTCTCGTATACTTCAATTCTGATCAACTGCTATTCCACCCATTGGCAAGCACATAAGTCATAAAAGCAACTAATTACCCTGTAGCACTGATTTGTTTTCCTCAGCTAGGTTTTGAAGTTTGCTGGAAGCAACTGGTTAATTTAATCAACCAGATGGTTTTAAAATGCATAGTGCTAAAATCACTGTCTGCACTTTTATATAGATTTGAAAGCAGATTTTGTGTATTACGGCTGTAATTCTTAAACAGTTACAGATTTTTGGTAGCATCATAAATCTTTCCTAATTATAAAGTGAGATTTTTTTTTTACACAAGCTAATTAATTTTCAGTAAATTACAGGAAAAAAGAATAATTATAGTGTTCTTATGTTTGTTCAAATGTTTACAATTTTAAACTGTCTGAGTACCAGAGTGCCATATCTAAGTAGAATGTCTTTTCATTTCTAGCTGCTGTAGTGTGTGTCACTCTCCTGAATCGGCTCGAAGGGGACCAGATCAGCAGCTCACACGATATACTTGTGGAGTATCAGCAGAGACCACAGAAATTAGTGGGATATTTTATTAAGAAAAGTCTTGGGAAAGTATGACGTGTCTGTCTTTGATTTTTAGAAACAGAAGGCTTTTGCACAGCAGAAGTCGTGGTCATGACCTCCGTGCATTAAAGGTTCTTTGCCTCAGAATAGCTTTCAGCATTCCATGTACATGTGGAAGTTAATCATTTGTGTCAGTGTGCTTTGGGAACTGAGTGTGCTGAATGCGCTTCAGTTAAGATTAGTTATTGTTGCTGGGATTTAAGATTCCCTTTTCTGAGTGGAAAGTGGATCTGTTGTGAAGGAGAAGCTTGCTGTGACATATGAAAAAGCTTCATTTATCCCTGCTGCTAAAGGAAAAGTAGGAAGAAAACAAAGTACTTTTTTGGAAAGTACTTGCAAACCACCAAATTAAAATTAATTTAAGAATGTTAATACCTTCCTTGTTGTTTTTTAAAAAATATATAAAGTTATATAAATTATAACAGCTGCCTTTGTTGTTTCACTTTGTAAAGAAAACTTAGAGTGAATGCACTTTGTTTTTTCCAGACATTGACAAATAAACAGTATTGTTTTCATATGGTGATATTTCAGTGAATTGCAAAGTGTGAGACTGGATTTCCTCAGACTTACGGATTTGACACTGAGCTGTTGGGTATCTGTACTTGCTAGATACCGATCCAACAACATCATTTGTATCTCATTTAAACTACACCGTTGGGCGAATACCCATGGAACACTTTTACTGTAGTCATTTTGCATGGAAGAACACAAAATCTTTTGCTAAATTGTTGCTCCTGCAGCCTGAAGGCAAAGTTAGAGGCATTGAGGAGATGCACAACATCTTCACAGGACTGCATGATGCGGTTCATTTTCTTCCTCCCACTTTGTTTCTTTTTAAATTTGTTTTCATTAACACTTAGCACTCACTCTTGCAGTTGTTTCCAGTTCTGAAAAACTGGAGAATAACTATTGACTGCACGTGCCACCGAAAATGTCTGCAAATTTTTTCTGCTGTCATTAGCCTAGTTTGTTTTAGTGCAGGTAGTTTTTGTTTTTCATTTTTATTTTTAAAATCGTAGTCATTTCTTTGCTGCTGCAGTTGAAGTATGTGATCAAATAAAGAACAATGTGTTTCTCTCTCTCTCTACTGCCATGAATAGCCCCATTCTAGTAGGGGTCACAGGTCAAGAGACTCAACTCAGAATAGTTGTCCCTAATATCAGCGTGGAACCGATAGCCAACAGGTACCGTAAGGGAAAGTTAAAAAGAACTTTGAAGAGAGAGTTGAAGGGAGCATATAAACAGGAGGGGGAACGGCTGTTTACATGGGGGGGATGTGATAGGAATTTTAAATTGAGACAGGGGAAGTTTAGGTTAGCTATTAGGAGGAAGTTTTTCACACAGAGGGTGGTGACGCACTGGAACAGGTTGCCCAAGGAGGTTGTGGATGCCCCATCCCTGGAGGCATTCAAAGCCAGGCTGGATGTGGCTCTGGGCAGCCTGGTTTGGTGGTTGGAGACCCTGCACATAGCAGGGGGTTGAAACTAGATGATCATTGTGGTCCTTTTCAACCCAGACCATTCTATGATTCTATGATCTTATGATTCTATATATTTAGCTAATGTAGGTTTTATTTTGGTGACAATAGTCTACAACCCTCTGAGAACACGAGAGTTAGATCAGAAAGGGAGTGATGCAGCAGTAGGCATGTTCACTGAGACAAAAACTGGAAGAATTTGATCAATTCATCAAAATTGGAAGGGAGGTCTATTGCAAATTGGAAACTGCAAACAATGACTAATGTCCTTACTTTTTATAACTTTTTAACTGGGAACATATTGGGAATGGATAGTGGAAAAGGTGAAAACGGTGTTGTCATTGTTTTCTTTTTAATTTGAACATGCTTTAAATACCTGTGATTTATTTATTATCCTTATTCTAAAAATTCACTTTCTTGTTTTATGTACAGCATAAGCAGTGAAGGTAAGCTTTTCAGAAAATGTTTTTTTTTTCCCCCCTCTAAGTTCAGGAAGTGTTTTGGGTGAAACGGAATCTCCACATTTTGTTAGAACTGTTTCTCTCTTAAAAAAATAATTGTGTAGCTCTACCCAGTGCTTGCCTGTGCTTTGCAGGAAGTGAGATATGTGACAAAGAGCAGCCTTGCTCTTTAACCTCCAATTCCCAGAACAGTAGGAAGGAAATAAGATGAGTGCTTTAAGAAGAAACATGCTGTACTCTAGGCTGAAGCAGTGGTGCCTACGCAGAGTCGAATGGTGTGGGCTTGGAAGAAAGAACTCCTAGAAAATTTCAGCCATGTCCTTCTCCTTCCCTCCGTTCCTTAGGGCATCATATTTTTCTTCCTCTTAAAATAATTTTCTTCTTTCCAAAAAGTGATATAAAGGATTATATCATCATAAAAAAAATTAGAAATCAAAGGAGACCAAATACGCAGGTTTTTTTCCACTGTCAACATCCTGCAATACTTAATTCCTAATACAAGAGGGTGCTGTATAAACGCATCCTACGTGCCAAAAAATCCCTTGGCTATAGAGGAAACTTACCAGTAAGTTACCTGATAAGAACAATTGAATTAGACCTTGTGACTGTGTATGGACAGAAAGATAAAGATATGAATCAGCTGTGCGTGCATCCGGCAGTGAAGCTACTTTCCAGTAGATTTTACAGAGGTCCATTACCAAAAGCAACCAAAGTTCCACTTGTGCTGTCTAGTCAGCATATACTTAACAATACGCTACAGAAACAGTTTATTCCAGACATCAGTAGGGATAACAACTAAGGGGGAAGGTAGATGTGATGAGCATGGAAGAATGACGAGAAAACAATTTTTCTACCAATGATTCCTAGCGTTCTGGCTTGATCTAATCTTTCTGTGAAAGAAATGGTTGAGAGCACAATGTAAGATAGGTTAAAACACATCTGTTTGCAAATTTGAAAGAGACTGAGAGCGGGCAGTTACTTGATGAAGTTGAGTTCACTTGAGGAAGTTAATTTTTATTTCTTGCATCTTGATGTTTTTCTTTGGTGGAAGTTATGAGAAATCCTAAAGGGAAGTGTGATGGAATGACCAATTTCCAAAAATGCTTGCAGTATAAATGTTTTTATCTCTTTAAAACAAATAACATAATTCCTATTAGAGGGTATTTTGGGGATTTCCTGGAAGCATAATTACACACATTTAATACATAACATCTTTTTAAAGATTCTTCTTGTGTCCTTTCAAGGGACTTTCATTGTGCTGTGCAGCAGAGCTGGATTTCCATCTCAAGTCCTCCTGGATCTGAGAATATTTTGAAATAAAATGTATAAAGTACTGCAGTTAATATCCTCGAATAGGAGATGTGTTTCATTTCCACTGGCAAGCTGGGGGAAAGAAGCCAAAGACAGAGCATGTGGATGTGCCCATCAGCACTCCCTTCCTGGTGCAGGGAACAGCTGAAGTTTGGGATCAGGCCTGTGCGCAATGAGTGGCTGCAGGAAAGCACAGCAGTGATAATATTACAGTTGCTTTGTGTGAGATATTAAGTTTTCATTTCCCAGAAAGTTATTCAGTCATTCAGTTGGTGACTCAAATACATAGTTTCTAAAATAATTGCCACATTGTATTTTAATCCAGAGTATGAATTAAATTACAGTTAAAAAAAGGTCCTCTGCCTGCTGTATAAGGGAGAGAAGACAGGTTACTGAGAGAAACAGCACTAAATCTGAAATTCTGCCACTGTAATAGCAGGAGTTGTGCTGACAGGGCCAATGCTTCTGTGTAGGCTGCAGGAAAATGCTGGAGTGGGAAAAGACAGACAAAGCCGGTTTTACACGACACAGAAACCTGATTCCAGATGCTTCTCATCAGCTTGTAACTGTGGGAAAATTTCCCTAGTTTACCACCAGTTTGTCCATTACAAGAACACACTCCCTATTGCTGCCCAGAAGTGCAGCCCCACCAGCAGCCCTGCTTGCCGAGTTCGGGCTGTTGTCTTTGTTCACTGCACGGCTCTCTTTTAATCAAATCTTTTACTGGACCCTGCCTGCAACCAATGTTTTTAGTTGTCTCCTGACTTAGCCCATGGGAAGCATCTCCCAGGAAGACTAATTGAATTGTGTTGAATCGTTGTCATTCTGCTTTGTCTGTGCTGAAGGGCAGTTCTGTGTCAATATTCACGAGCAGCACTCCTCACTGCTTCAAAGGGCAGCCTTGTGATCACACAGTGAGCCTTGTGAGATGAGTTGTGGGTGGTGGTAGGAAAACAGGCCAGTCTGCCTGATTCCCAGCCATGCTCTCACACAATTAGACTGTGTTCCTGTCTACCAACCAGTATGCGTAGCTCCTGGCCTGTAATATACTTAATATACAAAACTAAGTTTCATTGAATGTTTTTGCCAGCTGAGCTGTAATTAGAATGCACTAAAGCTGTAGGACAGACATGGAGAGTTGGTGGTGCCATAAAGCAGTCAGGTTTTGAAGCTGAAGCTGAATGCTGGTGGAGAGTTTGCTGCCTTTTCTGCCCCTGTGGTTCCAGATATCCTGTGCACTCAAACAAGAAATGTCCAATTCAGCACTGTGACAGCCTGCTCAAGCTGAGTGGAAATCAGAGAGCATGCATTGGTCTATTTTGTCCCACCCTGGCCAACTGATTCTGAGCATACATATATATTTCCTATTCCAGAAAGAATGAGTGGAGCACATAGTAAAATATATTACCTTCTAATTTGCTCTGTAATATTCAAGACTCCCTGACACTGTGCTGATGAAACATAGACCACTCAAGAACATCCAGGTTGGCAGCAAAACAGCTGATGTGTTTTCAGAAACTATTTAGAACTGATCTGCATGCCTGCTTAATTTTTAATAGTCATCTCTTTGGTGCCAAGGGTTTGTCAGGAAGGGTTGATCTCATATTTCTCATCTTTCTAGAACACTGCAAATAATACAATGAAGCCTGTCTTAGAGGTAATTTCCCAGAATGGCCCCACAGAGATTGTTCTTGGATGAATGTTTATGATGTTATCTTTGGCTTTCATCTGTTTTGTTCTAGAAAAAGAAGTGTGCTACTGGAGAACACCTTATGGGCAGGAGTGAATTTCTTTAGGAAGGGATGATGATACTCGAGGGCAAATTAATTTTATATTGAGGAAGAACTTTTTTACTGTGGGGGTATCAGAGCAGTGGACAAGGCTGCCCAGAGAGGGTGCAAAGTCTCCTTCTGTGAGGATTTTCAAAGCCTGCCTGGATATTTTCCTGGGCAGCCCACTACAGGGAACCTGCTTTAGCAGGGGTGTGGACTAGATGGTCTTCAGAGCTCCCTTCCAATCCCTATCACTCTGTGATTCTGTGATCTCACTAGTGAAAGTTGTTTATTGCTGCATGTCTTATATAGTAAAATGAGGAGTTGGTTACTAATTAGTGCTGAAAATTAATTGCATACAAACCAGTTGTTTTCTATATTCACAAAGAGTGGTTTAGCAT